AAAACAGGTAGGAGGGTTACCAGCATAGTCAAGTATCCAGCCAAAACGTTGGGTTTGAGAAGGCTTTTCAGAGCAAACAGCAAAGTTCTGAGGGAGGGTCACTCAACCCGAAACGTTAACTCTGATTTCTCTCCACAGATGCTGCCAGACCTGTAGAGCTTTTCCAGCAATTTCTGTTTTTGTTTCCGTTGTGGAAAGCTTGCCTCAGAATTGAACATTTTCACTCTGTGAAAATCTTGACTTTTTGGAAATGTTGGCAATGTGATGAAGAAACTGAGATTTTATCTGTGAACAAACTCACTCTCAAATACTGGAGCCTGCTTTTTGACATTACTCATCCCAATTTATCATTGTAAGGAAGTGCGGCTAATGAATCAGAAATGACAGAACAGTGTGAATGGAACATTAAGAGATATTAACCATGAATACTGGAACAGCATACACATACATATAACATACAGGCAAGAAATGAAGGCTTGTTAAACGCATCTCTATTTCGAGAGGAAGTATCTGCCAGGTTATGGAGACAGAACAGGGGAGTGTGACTAATTGGGATAACGCTTTCAAATTGTAATGAATATAATGAGCAAGATGGCTTTGTCTGTGACCTATCTCATACACAATTAGTCCTGGACTTGACAGTGATCCTCACATCCCAGGAATGTATCATTAAACAAATATGAAGAGCCCTCTTTGGGGCTGGCTGACTTTCACAGGCAGGATTACTTTATCAAAGTGTACGATAAAGGAATCTGATTATCAGGACTAAACTTAGCGAATGTTTGCATGCTAATAAATAGTTTTTCTGTCTTTTCTCCCATCATCTTTCTCAAAGAGTTTTGAGTGTCTGCAATGACAACCTGCCCATTCTGTCACCTTTCATCTAATTTACGTTTCAAGTGCATATCAAGAAGGTGGCTCAGTGATTAGTACTGCTGCCTCCCAGTCCCAGGCACCCGGGTTCAATTCCACCCCCAAGCGAATGTCTGTGTGGAGTTTGCACATTCTCCCCGTGTCTGTGTGGGTTCCCTCTGGGTGCTCCAGCTTCCCCCCACGGTCCAAAGATGTGCAGATTAGGTGCATTAGCCATGCTTGATTGCCTGTAGTGTTCAGGGATGTGCAGGCTAGATGAGTTAGCCATGGGAAATGCAGGGTTAGAGTGGGGGGCGTGGGTCTGGGTGGGATGCTCTTCAGAGGGTTGGTGTGGGCTTGAAGGACTGAATGGCCTGCTCCTACACTGTAGGGATTCTATGATTATATGCAATGAGCAGGAGGATCTCATTTACCACAGAAACATCCTGAAATCTTTGATAAAACATTTCCAGTATTATTTCTAACATGGAATGCCAGAATTGTAACATGCAGAATGTGGCTATTCAGCCCATTGCATCTGTGCTGGCTCAACCAAGTAAACAATTAAGTTCAAGTCATATCCCGCCTTCTCACCATAATCAGGTTAACATTCATTAGGTTTACTCTTGATAATCAGGTTAAACATGGGCAAGGAAACCTCCTGCTGATTATCACATACCATCCTCCCTCAGCTGATGAATCAGTACTCCTCCATGTTGAATAACACTTAGAGGAAGCACTGAGGATGGCAAGGGCACAAACTGTTCTCTGGGTGAGGGATTTCAATGTCCACCAACAAGAGTGGCTCAGCAGCAGTACGACTGATCGAGCTGGTCGGGTTCTAAAGGACATAGCTGCTAGACTGGGTCTGTAGCAGGTGGTGAGGGAACCAACAAGAGGGAAAAGCATACTTGACCTCATCCTTACCAAACTGCCAGCTGGAGTTGCATCTATCCATGACAGTATCAGTAAGAGTGACCATCGCACAGTCCTTGTGGAGATGAAGACCCGCCTTCACAATGAGAACAGCCTCCATCGTGTTGTCTGGCACTATCACCGTGCTAAATGGGACAGACTTCGCACAGATCTAGCAACTCAAGACTGGGCATCCATGAGGCGCTGTGGGCCATCAACAGCAGCAGAATTGTACTCCAGCACAATCTGTAACCTCATGGCCCGACATATCCCCCACTCAACCATTACCATCAGGCCAGGGGATCAACCCTGGCACCAGGCATACCTGAGGATGAGGTGTCAACCTGGTGAAGCTACCAAACAGGGCTACTTGCACACCAAACAGCGAAAGCAGCAAGTGATAGACAGAGCTAAGCAATCCCACAACAAACGGATCAGATCTAAGCTCTCTAGTCCTGCCTCTTCCAGTCGTGAATGGTGGTGGACAATTAAACAACTCACTGGAGGAGGAGGCTCCACAAATATCCCCATCCTCAATGATGGAAGAGCCCAACACATCAGTGCAAAAGATAAGGCTGAAGCATTCACAACAATCTTCAGCCAGAAGTGCCAAGTGGATGATCCATCTCGGCATCCTCCAGTGGTCCCCAGCATCACAGATACCAGTCTTCAGCCAATTTGATTCACTCCACGTGATATCAAGAAACAATTGGAGACACTGGATACTGCAAAGGCTACGGGGCCCTGGCAACATCCCAGCAATAGTACCGAAGACTTGTGCTCCAGAACTTGCCCTCCTCGAGCCAAGCTGTTCCAGTACAGTTATATTACTGGTATCTACCCAACAATATAGAAAATTACCCAAGTTTGTCCCATACATGAAAAGCAGGACAAATCCAATCAGGACCATCAGTCTCCTGTTGACCATCAGTAAAGTGATGGAAGGTGTCAGTAACAGTGCTATCAAACAGCACCTGCTCAGCAATAACCTGCTCAGTGACGCCCAGTTTGGGTTCTGCCAGGGCCACTCAGCTCCTGACCTCATTAAAGCCTTGGTTCAAAAGCTCTGAATTCCAGAGGTGAGGTGAGAGTGACAGCTCTGGAAATCAATGCTGCACTCAACCGAGTGTGGCATCAAGGAGCCCTAGCAAAACTGGAATCAATGGGTATCAGGGGGCAAACTGTCCCGTGGTTGGAGTCATACCTGACACAGAGGAAGATGGTCATGGTTGTTGGAGGTCAATCATCTCAGCTCCAGGACATCTCTGCAGGAGTTCCTCAGGATAGTGTCCTAGGCCCAATCATCTTCAGCTGCTTCATCAATGGCCTTCTCTCCATCATAAGGTCAGAAGTGGGGATGTTTGCCGATGATTGCACAATGTTCAGCACCATTTGCAACTCCTCAGATACTGAAGCAGTCTGTGTTCACATGCAACAAGATCTGGATAATATCCAGGCTTGGGCTGACACGTGGCAAGTGACATTCGTGCCACACAAATGCCAGGCTATGACCATCACCAATAAGAGACAATCTAACCACCGCCCCTTGGCATTCAATGGTGTTACCATCACTGAATCCCCCACTATCAGCATCCTGGGGGTTACCATTGACCATAGACTCACCACATAAATGCAGTGGCTACAGAAGCAGGTCAGAAGTTAGGAATACTGTGGCGAGTAACTCACCTCCTGACTCCCCAAACCTATCCATCATCTACAAAGCACAAGACAAGAATGTGATGGAATACTCCCCACTTGCCTGGATGAGTGCAGCCCCAACAAAACTCAAGGATAAACCAGCTCACTTGGTTTGCACCACATCCACAAGCATCCACTCCCTCCACCACCAATGCTCAGCAGCAGCAGTGTGTACCATTTACAAAATGCACAGCAGAAATGCACCAGGTCCTGAGACATCACCTTCCAAACCAATGACCACTTCCATCTAGAAGGACAAAGGCAACAGATATGGGGGAACACCACCCCCTGCAAGATCCCCTCCAAGCCAATCATCATTCTGAGTTGGAAATATATCGCTGTTCCTTCACTGTCGCTGGGTCAAAATCCTAAAAATTCCCTCCCTAAGGGCATTGTGGGTCAATTTACAGCACATGGACTGCAGCGGTTCAAGAAGGCAGCTCATCAACACCTTCTCAAGGGACAACTAGGGACGGGAAATAAATGCTGACCAGCCAGCAACACCCACATCCCAAAAAAAGTACAAATAAAAAAAAACCCTGCATATTCTTCCTTTTCAGATAATAAACCAAGTTTGTCTTAATTGAATCATCCTCCACCAGACTCCGAGGTAGCCCATTCCAGATCCAAACACAATTTGAACTCAGTTGGGAAGAGTACATCAATACTTTGGCGTCACTATTCCACATGCTGTCACACATGTACAAGTACCCAATTAAACCTTCAATTTGCCTCACTGACCACTATCCAGGCCAAAAGTAATTCACACACTATTTTATCATTAACAGGAAAATATCTCCATTTATTGTAAACAAACACGTTCTTTGATAAAAGAAATGGATTACCAATTTACTACAATGTGACTTAAACCATATCCCTATAAAATCAACACACACACACATTCATCCACAAACAAAACAAAGGATTTGACACAAATATTATGAGTAGAAAGATATAGCGAGGGAAAACAATTTCTGTAGATTAGATTTTAAAACGTCAACGGGTGGAGAATTTTTTTTTCTTACTGTCATTTTGTTCTAGTAATGATGACACAATGTGGTCTACACAGCAATAGTTGATCTTCACTTCAAATAGTTGGTCAGGTGGACCTGGGCCTTTTTTTTTGTATTAGAATTCTTTCTTTTGAGTCTTTAAGTTTTTTTGACTACTCCCTCAGACAGAAAGGAGAGAGAGAGAGATATTCCTGTCTGCAGGTTTCTGGATGTCTCTAGCAACACTGTAATCACAAGTCTTAACAAACCACAGCTAGACCAATCTGAAGGCTTTCAGTAGACAAACTATGCTCAACTTAAAGGCTCCTGGTACCAGTGTTATATTGTACCCACCTCACTCCTCCAGAAAATAATGTAGTCTTCTTTAGCTAAAGTGTATTCCATACAATCCCACTTGATTTTCAAGTTGCAGAATGAACCCTCCTGGTACTTTTAGCAACTCCTTTTTTTCCAGTTTACAGTCCAAAGTGTGGTCCTTTACAGAACCTCTTTCACAAATATCCGATGCTGATTATTTTGCAGGATTGCTGGAGACACAGCATTGAACAAGAACATTCACGAGTCTGTCAGTGCACAAATCAGGAAGAACTTTGCTAAAAGCAAGTGGAGGGTAAGTTGCTCCTTATCCCACAAAGCAATACAATGGATATAACACAGCTGATGTTTTGTTTAAAAGTTACAAATTGCACCCACATGGAATGCTGTCCCATTTTATACCTTCCCAACTTTCAGACTTTGGTCCATACATTAAAATTCAACAAATTAATGGTCCAAGCAATGTAGGATGACAAGGTTATTTCAATAAGAGATGTTTGTCATGATTCAGGATTCCCCAACACCTTGTGTTTTCCTGTGAACACGTTGGTGATTGTTAAAACAGATTGTGTTACCCAATAACTAATCTATGCATCTTTTCTTGACTACTGCCTGGTAATGGCAGGATCCAGGCCTGTCAGTGAAACCCTGATAAGGGCGAGATCTCGACAGGAAGTGGATAAAATGCACAAATACCTCCCCTGCTTATTCAGGAAATGAAAAGTATTCACAACAACCACAGCTTTCACTTCTATAGTGCCTTCGGCACAATACAATGTCCCAAGACATCTCATGGGAGCATTGTAGAGCACGGAAGGGGTGGCATGGTGGCTCAGTGGTTAGCACTGCTGCCTCACAGTGCCAGAGACTCGGGTTCATTCTAGCCTCACACTGTCTGTGTAGAGTTTGCACATTCTCCCCGTGTCTGCGTGGTTTTCCTCCGGGTGCTCCGGTTTCCTCCCACAGTCCAAAGATGTGCAGGCTGGGTGGATTGGCTATGGGAAATTGCCCATAATAACCAGACGTGTGCAGTCTAGGTGGGTTGGCCAAGGGAAATGCAGTGTACAGGGATAGGGTAGTTCTTCAACAGGGCTGCGTGGACTTGATGGGCTGAATGGCCTGCTTCTGCATTGTAGGGATTCTATGATTCAGTGATACCAATGGTGGATGAATTAAGCACTTGATTATTTTGTAGAGGTTGAAACAGCAGAGAGTCTTTTTGCAAGTGTGGTAGAGCAGAGAAATCAGAGAGTCAATCCCGTAGTTGACAATCAGGCTTCCCTGAAGGCAGATCATAAGTGCCCTTCAGCTGAGACAAGGATTTGTCTGTTTGAGAGGAACTTTAGGTGCAGATAAAAGAGAAACCAAACCAGGAATTGCTGGCAAAACTCAGCAGGTCTCTAAGCATCGGTGGAAGAGCACAGAGTTAACATTTTGAATCAACTGACATTTTTCTTCATTGAGTTCTGATGAAGAGTCACCCGACATGAAACATCAACTCTGCTTTATCTGTGTCTCCACAGAAGCTGCCAGACCTGCTGAGTTTCTCCAATGATTTCTGTTTCTGTTTCAGATACCAAGCACCTGAGTTGGCTAAACTGTCTGCACATTAACACGAGTGAAATCTGTCTTGTTTCATTCTAAATGCATTAAAAACATTGGCATCTTTTGAATATTTGGGTTCTGTTTTCAAGTTCCTGTTATAAACTGACTGGACTAAACTGCAATGAGTTTGTGATAGACCAGGGAAAATGAAACAATGCAGTTTGCTACACTTCAGGTTTCCTGGTTTTCCCTCCATCTTTTATCATCATTACCCTGTTTCATTTGAGAAGGTCATTTTATTCATTCATTGGATGGGAGTGTCACTGAAGACTGGCATTTATTGCCCATTTTTAGTTGCCCATGACAAGGTGGTGATGAGCTGCCTTCTTGAACCACTGCAGCCTATGTGGTGTAGGGACACCCACAGCACTCTTAGAAAGGGAGTTCTAGGATTACCATCAAGTCAGTATGATTGGACCCAGTGAAAGTGATGGTTACAGTGATAGCATTTCAAGTCAGGATGGTGTGTGACTCAGCGGGAAACCTTGCTCCCATGAATCTGCTACTCTTGACCTTCTAGATGGTACGGATCAAATTTGGAAGGTGCAATCAAAGGAGTCTTGGTGAATTTTTGCAGTGTATCTTGTAGATAACACACACTGTTGCTACTGAGTATCAGTGATGGAGGGAGTGAATGTTTAAGGCGATGCTATCAAAATTATTAATTGATTTATTCAGCAATTTTATTGCACAATTTATAGTATAAATCTTCAGAATTATTCACGTGCTTTATGATGGATTTTCTAATGGAATACCTGCTCTGGTCTCTATCATTTGTACTTTATTCCATGTCACTCTAAATTAAATGTACCGTTTTGGAAAATTGGACCTAAACAGTTTTCCTTCCTGTATATTACGGAACTAAATGTGAACTTGATTGCAGCAAGCATTTAATGCCACAGCTGTTATAAGACACATGAGAAGGCTGCACCTGGGTAGCAGTCAGGATGGATCGAATCTGAACGCACAAACCAACCGCAAGCCCTGCAATCCACTGCCAGATGTCACATCTCGTAAAGAGTGTAAGTACAAAGAATTACATTTATCCGAGGAGGAGGGAAACGAGAGAGCTTTTTCCAGACTTACTGAATGCATCAAACCTAGAGCGGGATCCTGAAAAAACGTCCCGTGGGTTTCGACCTCCCAAAGTTTTTCAGGTTCCCAAAATACATTTAGACCCCCTGATGAAGAGTTATCTAGACTCAAAATGTGAGCTTACTGTCTCTCTATGGATGCTGCCTAACCCACTGTGATCACCAGCACTTGGTGTTTTCAGTAGATTTAGACAAGACTGCACAAAAAGAGAACATTTTCCAACTCTGTACGGCCAATGGGCATCTCAATCACAGAAAGGGCACACAAAATATTTGTTTCCCATGGGCATTAAATGGTGAGAGAACAGTGTGCCAACACTGCTGAGCACATTTAAATTCACAACTCACATTCCTGCTGGTGGGGATCCTTACTGCCAGAGAAAAGTCGCAAAATCAGCCGTTTAATATACAGTGGGTGCAATCTCCTTAAAACACTGCTACAGCCTTTCTGCTTCTGTTCTGTCACCAGTATTGGAGCAGATCCACTTATTCTCATGTGACAGTCTTAAAACAAGCACTTTACCAATCATTTGTTTCACCTTGTATACATCACTAACTGCAGTCAGGAAGAGAAACATTTAATAGAAAGGCAACATGTAAATAGAAATTTATTTTTAATTGCACGTAAAATAACTTATAGAGTACTTGAGTCAGTAAAGACACTAACATACTAATCACATTGCATATACATATAAAATTCCTTCTGATCTGACATGGCAACATTCTTCCAGCCATGGACCCTTCAAAACCCATTGAATCACAAAAGAAAATCACAGAAAGATCACAGCAGGGAAGGAGAGCATGAGTTCATTGTGCTAGCTCTCTGCAATAACAATTTAACTTGCCCCATTCCCTACATTTTCTCTCTTGCCGCTGTTTCAATTTCCCTTGGTCTTATCCAAATTCCCAGTTGAAAACTTCAATTGGACTTAGCTCCACCACCCTCTCAGGCAGCGTATTCCAGATTCAAATCACTTGCTGCCTAAAGAGTTTTGTCCTCATGCCATCTTTGTATCATTTTACACCCATCTTTAACCAATGCCCTCTGGTTCTCAACACGTCCATCAATAGAAATAGATTAACTATACCGAAACCCTTCAAGTTATTAAATCCTTTGATTAAATATCCACTTAGTCACCTGTAATTTCTGCTTCTTCAAATGCTTCTTGAGTTCCAATCCAAAGATGAGTATGGCATCTATCCATCTCCCCATCAGATGGTGCATTCCAAATCCTAACCACCTATCTGCATAAGCACTCCCCCTTTGTGTTGCCTGTAGTTCTTTTGATATTGATATTACATCTGTGTAATCATCCTTTGGCAACCATTTCCATCTCCTTACCCTGTATAAGCCTTTGTAGCTTCAAGCATTTCCTATGTAATCTACTCTTGGTTTTGTCTGCTCTACAGCCTGAAAGCAACAGCCTGATTAAACCCCTCATCCCTGAAACAGTTTGAAAAATTTATCCTCTATGTTCTCTCCAAAGCCTTCACATCCTGATTATTTCACTGTTTCCTAGATAATTGATTTTTGTGTGAACTGTGACAAAACCATGTCAATCTTATTATAGTTTTTATCAGATTATGAATTATTAAATACTGGAATGTTGCTATTGCAACAAAGTTCACAAACATAGAAATTGCTGGAAAAACTCAGCAGGTCTGGCAGCATCTGTGGAGAGAAATCAGAGTTAACATTTCAGATCAAGTGACCTTTCCTGTAGTTTCTGAAACAAGGAAGGTACCAGAAATGAACATTTCAGTCCTCTTCTTCCAAAGTCTGCAATTTTTACCAAATCAAAATTTGACATAGAGACATAGCACTCTGCTAGCTCAATCACTCTTGCAAAGGGGCAGCATAGATCTAAAAGGACCCAACGGCCTCTTTCTGTGCTGCATCTATTCTTCGATTCTGTATGTCATTGACCATAACACATCACTCTAGTGATGATTTATAGATCTGTTCTCTGTGTGCAAATAAAGATGGTTTTATTTACAATTGTTAGAAGTTTCCTTCAAATTTACTGCATCATTTTTATGGATTTCTGACAACGTAAGTATCAATTGTATCCTTAGAACAAATAATCAAGGATTTTTTGAGGCTGTTAAAGTTAACCATAGGAACATAGGAACAGGGTGGGCCATTCATCCTCTTGAACCTGTTTTGCTATTCAGTGAGAACGTTGCTAATCTGTGACCCAACTCCATGTATCTGCCTTCAGCCCATATTCCTTAATGCCTTTGCTTAACAAAAATGTATGTATCTCAGATTTAAAATGGACAATGGATCCAACATCCCCTGCTGTTTTTGGAAGCGAGTTCCAAACCTCTGCCACCTTCTATGTGTAGAAATGGTTCCTAACATCTGGAGAAGGCATCTGAATGGGTGCATGATTAGAAAGAGTTGAGAATGATATGGGCCAAATGCTGGCCAAATGGGACTAGATTAATTTAGGATATCTGGTTGGCACACACGAGTTGGACCGGAAGGTTTTTTTTTCGTGTTGTACATCACAATGACTCGATCTCTCCTGAGCTGTCTGACCCTAATTCTCAGACTATGTCCCTAGTTCTAGAATTGCCAGCCAGTGAAAATAGTTTGTCTTTATATCTCTTGCCTTTTCCTGTTAATATCTTGAAGACTTGAATCAGCAGCGATATGTGTGTTAATTTTTAAACTGAGTGCTGATGCTAATTGTTGTTCTCTCAATGCTTACATCTGACTTTGTCTCATTGTTTTCTTCTCCACCCTGATGGGTTTCCTGTAGGTGTGTCTCCATCCACTGCCTGTAGTATAGTGTCATCTGTGTCTTCTCCTTCTGGGATATCTCCATTAGGATCAGAAGGGAGAGCAAGATCGACTTCAGTAACCACAGTGCACACTGGGAGCAAATGACAAGCTCCTTCAACAGATTCAAAAGTGGGAAACAACATCACTGTGATGCAGCCCAGAATTCAAATGATTTCACCCTGTCATGTGCACTGAAGCCTAGAGGGATCCCAGGAAAGATTTTTAAAGGCCATATTTTATACTGTAACTCTTATACAATACATGTATCATAAACATTGAGCCATGTGCTGATGGATTTAACAGTATCTGGTGCTGTGCATATGAGTCTAGCAATGCTTAATTTCACTTTATATAAATTCAGCAGTTGAAAAAAAATCATTTTCCCAGTAATTGTGCAAAATGTTCCTCCAAAGTAGCATCATTTCTCCAGGATGTATGTTTTCTGAGGAATGAGACATTGACTGGACTGCACAACCCATTGCTTATTTATTGTACCCTTGTCGGTTGCTTTATCTTACATGGAACTGCTTCCTTTTACAGAAAGTGCAGAGCCCCTTATGCTGTACCATTGCGATAGACAGCATGGAGCTGACAGAACCGGTAACAGAAATGCTGTGATATTAACCTATCGGGGTTTAAAATGTTGTATACTAAAACATTTTTGTCCTAAAACGGACAAGGACTTTTAACTATTTCAGGGCTAGAATCAAATGTCATGCTTGCTCCTTCCAGCTTTGGTGAATGTCTCTAGTTGTACATAAAGGAAGTCATCTTTAGTTGGGTTTGTAGATTATCTGCTGACACGGCATTGTTATATTGCATCTTTTTAATCATGTCTTTCTGTTTCCAGTTAAAGTTTTTGTAGCAACCTTCGGTACAGTTTGGTTTGTCTGAGATGGACGAATCCTAATCAAATTAGATAGATAGATAGACATATTGAAAAGTACGGTACTACAAGGCTTACTTACGCCTTTCTTGTTAAAAATTTCTTGCAGACAGAAAGGTAATAGAAACAAGCTAAACAACTTTTACACCTCATTAAAAAATAAATAGACAAATGTTTAAAGCATCCCCAAGGAAAGCATAGACCTGTTAAATCTTAATCTGTTTAAATTATTTCAGTATTTTAATAATACTTTTCAATTCCAGGACATTCCCTGAACCATGTGGCAAGATTCTTTGGCATAGGGTTTTATTTTTATACTTCTGGTGGGTCTGGAACGTTTTAAAAGCTGTTGTAGCTTTCTTTTTGGCTCACACTGAACATGGTTACTAAATGATATCAGAGATGTAAAAATGTACATATTTCTGCGAGCAGTTTATCTTAAGGGGACATGGAGAAATCTTTGATAATTTTGCTTCGACAAGAAAAAAACATGTGCTCAACAACGTAGCCTCAAAATTAGTCCTGGTGAACATATAAAAAGTCAGACACATTTGTATAACATTCTTCTGTCTTCTACTGAAGTCAAAACGTTATCATCATAGTCCTGCTCTTATTAGAGAGAGAGAGAGAGAGAAAACTGGAGGTGGTTTAACCTGAGGGTCACCATGCCTCAGGTGAGGGGAAAGGTTCAGATGGAGTGTCCTTCGTGGTAACTTCAGCTCGTGCAGCAATTGAACACACCCTGTTGATGCTACTGTACATTGCATATCAGCCATCTAAGCGAACCAACTTCCTGTTCAAGTTTATAAAGCAACCTCTAACATTTCAATATTAGACCATCATTTATCAACATTTATCAGCATTTTCAGGATGGCCTGACAGAAGATTGAATGTTGCTGCTGCAGTGGTCACAGATTTACCGCTCGTGGGATTTGGGCCTCGCTGGCTGGGCCAGAGTTCATTACCCGTCCCTAGTTGCCCTTTGAGAAGGTGGGAGTGAGCTGCCAACTTGAACCCCTGCAGTCCATGTGCTGTGGTTTGACCCACAATACCCTTAGGGTAGGGAATTCCAGGATTTTGACCCAGCAACAGTAAAGGAACGGCGATATATTTCCAAGTCAGGATAGTGAGTGGCTTGGAGGGGAACTTGCAGGGGGTGGTGTTCCCATGCATCTGCTGCCCTTGTCCTTCCAGATGGAAGTGGTTGTGGGTTTGGAAGGTGCTGTCTGAGGATCTTTGGTGAATTTCTGCAGTGCATCTTGTAGATAGTACACACTGCTGCTACTGAGCGTCGGTGATAGAGGGAGTGGATGTTTGTGGATGTGGTGCCAATCAAGCGGCTGCTTTGTCCTGGATGGTGTGAAGCTTCTTAAGTGTTGTTGGGGCTACACTCATCCAGGCAAGTGGGGAGCATTCCATCACACTCCTGGCTTGTGCCTTGTAGATGGTGGACAGGCTTTGAGGAGTCAGGAGGTGAGTTACTTGCCGCAGTATTCCTAGTCTCTGACCTGCTCTCGCAGCCACTGTGTTTATGTGGTGAGTCCAGTTGAGTTTCTGGTCAATGGTAACCCCCAGGATGTTGACAATGGGGGTTTCAGTGATGGTAACACCGTTGAATGTCAAGGGGCAGTGATTAGATTGTCTCTTATTGGAGATGGTCATTGCCTGGCATTTGTGTGGTGCTCCAGAACTTTAACCTGCTATATCCAGAAAGGTATGGGAATCGTAGCACAATGGTTAGGTAATTCAGATTGTTGATCTTAAGACATGAATTCAAACCCAACCATGAAATTTCAGTTGAATTCAGTAAATAAATTTGGAACAGCAAATTAGAATCAGTGATAGTAGGAACTGCAGATGCTGGAGAATCTGAGATAACAAGGTGTAGAGCTGGATGAACACAGCAGGCCAAGCAGCATCAGAGGAGCAGGAAGGCTGACGTTTCGGGCCTAGACCCTTCTTCAGAAAAAATGAAGAATTGAAATGAAGAAATGAATGAATTTTTCTGAAGAAGGGTC